TAAACAAGCCTTTGTAATGTATTTGTGCTGACTTTGTCTGTTGCTTTTCATAATCTGAACATGACTTCCATACAGGATTTCAAAACGTTAGGTAACTATAACAGTCTTTCTCAAGACTTTTTACACCCAGATTACCATACTGCACATAGATTTCTTACAACTTGGTTCATACATACCATTCACTCCCATTTGTATTTTATTCCCATTTAAAATGTACTTACACATTGTGGCTTGAAGCTCCCTGTACACAAAAAATATGTATAGTGTTAACAACGACCAACTATAACTTTGAGCTTTATAATTATTTGATAACCACAAAACAAGCAACTGAAATATCCACTTATAGAAATAATTCCAAAAGCACGTGTCACACGGTACCTGAGTTAATAATAACCTACTTTGTTTTTTTTTTAAATAAGGCAAAACTGAATAAATATTTTTGTTCTCATTAACGAATGAAAAAGTCAGTTCTTTACGCACCTGTATTTCCCCATCAAGTGAAACAAGAACATGTTTCGAGCTGTCTTCGTCTGCTTGTAAAGGATCCTTTTGACTTCGATGAACAAGTTGAAAGCTGTGAGCACTCTTTTTGTCAATAAATGGCTTCTTTTTCTTGCCCTAACCAAAGTAACACGTGAATAGTCATTTATAGATTCCCAAGATACTATCAAAATATCAAAATAATTAATGAAATTCTAGAACATTACCATTTTTGTGTGTTCTCTGTTTTGATGATCCTTACTGCGACGCCATATTGGATTGCAACATGCTCGTGAGCCTGCGATCCCAAAGTGTAAATATACACACAGGGAGCCCAAACAATACTTGTGAAAAAGAAAATAGAAATTAATTATTTTTGCATTTAACTTCTCAAAAATGTTTTTGTGCTCTTAACTTTCAATCTAAACCCCATTAAATGATTAACAAGAGAAAAAAAAGAAATAAAGAAGAAAACGACCATGCTGGGACTCGAACCCATGGCAGGAAACTCGAAAAAGATTGGGACGATTCCCCCGAGACATTCTGTGAAGCTGAGGCGTCGAATCGATTTACATTTCGGTTAGAGATTTCGGCTCTTCCATGCTATCCCGATAATTGATCCTAACTTTGCGCTAACTAAAAAGCCAGTGAGGGAGAAGCTATCCGGCCCCTAGACACTGATGGATAACCCCTTGCACTAACTAGGCAACTATCGAAAAGATAATGCCAAATTGGGGTAGTCTATTCGGCGAAAGTGCCAAGTATCCTATTATTATGCAAATGACCGTGGTCCAGTGGCGCGGATCGTTAAGCCGTTGTTTTTCAAGGCGAGGGAAACAGGATCGACCGGGTTCGAATCTCGCATTCACAAACATTCTTATGCTCTTTTGCTCTGAATATTACTCTATTGATTTAATTTTTTTAATCAAACTTTTTTTTCAAACAATTTATAGAAGGTTGACTTTGTGAAATTTTTTATTGGGTTTCCTGGGTCTTCTAGTTCTTTACAAATATCGATTAATAACCTGCATCAGAAAAAATCTTTMCATTTTCAATTTTCAACTAAAGTTCACCGGGGAAGACCTTAGAGAGCTAATTGGGTGAAAATTGGAAAAATTGAAAAAGACATGAGATTCTCTATCTCATTGTAGGTCTAATTGATTACGAAACAACGTGTTTTCATGAGWCATTGGGTGAAAATCGTAAGAATTTAATGCCAAAAAATTCTRGAATAAAGAACGTCATAAATCCATCCTTTTGCTCTTTCGTCTGTTGAGCCAAAATTTCTCTGCTTGAGATGACTGCATAGAACGTTCACTTGACAAGTTTTGCAATAGTACAAATGAGATATATACATTCAAAGGTGCAAGAGTTTCGCCCTTCAGCTTATATCGTTAAAAATTAATTAAGGTGAACAAATTTCGGTCCTAAAATTACAAATGGTGTAATGTTCTTTGTAGGCAACTCGCAACATCTTCACTCGGTCAAATGCTTTGCAAGCGGAGTAAGTAAACGCTCTTGAGAGCCCTGACAACGAYTATTGCCATGGGAACGACAAATTACCCTCTCCTTTAATTATTAAAGCAATCAAGTTAAACAATTAAGTATATTGAAATCGTTAATTGTATTCTTTTCTGAAGATAATTSTAAGAAAAAAATACACAGAAGAGAGTTTTTTTTTCATTTCAGTGATCTAGTCGCACGAACGATTCTTCTTTCTTTCTAAAATTTCATCTACTTATTCTTAGGTATCCTATGTCAAAGTAGTATTTCTTACAATTAAACTGGTTCGCTAGCGACATTAAAGCTGGCAGGCTAATAAAAATATGTATACTTTTCACACCAACATGAAAAACAACGCAATAGTGCCGACTGGTAAACACCTCGGTTCATTTTAAATTTTCAATTAGGATGAAATTGAAAAAAAAAAATATTCTCTTTTTACATATTAACTTGGCCACTTGTGATTAATTYCTTGAAATAATTCGGTTTTTGCGATATTTCTTAGTCTTAGATTCTGAATGATATTATTTTAGACATGATTACTTTTGTAATATTCAATTTTAGGAGTCATCTTGACCTCCATATTCATTCATTCATGGTCAATGTTAGCGTTGGTAGGCTGACAGCCAGAGATGACAGTATATATTGAATTATTCAAATCTATGATGGGTTTTATAATCGAAGAGGAATATTGTCATATATTCTGTCCATTCAAAGTCGCTGAAGCTCTTTAAGATTACCCAGACTGGTTTCTACGGCATCGCATTGAGACAAGTGAAATTCACGGCTAAAGTAATGGTTTTAGAAAGCACCTGTTCGCTATGAATAAGAAGCAGTTATCGCTCATCATTGGCTAAACGTTCTCATCGTCAAGSGATTTTATTGTAGCAATTTAACATACTGTACGGTTTGCACCATCATCAAACCTAGATAGATTTACAGTAGAGTCTTAAAAAACAACTATGACTGCCTTGGCTCAAGCAGTCCTTGAAAGAAGATGGCGTCAAGCTAGGTTGCTGATAGACATTGGATGCAACGTGAATGGAAAAGGGKAYCATGGAAGAACTCCATTGATTGAGATGTGTTTCGTTGACGACCAAAASAGAGCAGCTGCTCTTACGAGAGTTCTTCTTGAGAAAGGSGCWRATATTGGTGCTCGAGACAATGATGGTCGAACAGCTCTTTCTAATGCMTGTCTTCTCCACAGAACTAAGCTCTTTCCTCTATTAATTGAATTTGTCGATTTTGACTTGAATTCRRCTGATAATGACGGCAACACTGCTTTATTTCACGCCATCACAGCCGGTGACGTGTGGGTAGTCAAAGAATTACTGKCCAAAATGTTACACTTTGGATTAAAAGTTGATTTACTGAATGCAAAAGGTGAAACGCCTTTGATTTATGCATTGAAGTCCAAGAAGCTTGACATCGCYGAAGTTCTTATCAACGATGGGAAGGCTTCACTAGAAGCGCGCGATTTAGAGTTTCAAAAAAGTGCTTTCCAGTGGAAAGAAGAAGTCATGGGAGTCAACGTTGACACAAACGTTCTTCCGTTGTTGATTCTTAAATCCTCATCAGGGAAGAGGAAAGCTAACTTGGAAAACAAAAACATCAAAGTCAAAACAAGCAGTGCGARACCACTTCAACGAAGCAATGTTAGCTTACCAAGACTATTACCAAGACCTTCCACTGCCCCAGATAGGATAGTTGTACCCGAATGTCTGCGACCATGCGTTCCTATAAAAACGAATCTTGCCAAACTGTACATGTTATACAATCAACAGACAACAGATTCATTTCGTTATGGTTATAAACCAGTGAAATATAAAGGCCTCGAAGATCAGTGYAAATCTGGAGTGTCATTTAATCAAGTGAATGAGCTTACTATGAAACTTCAAGGATTATACAAGGATTCGGTTAAAAGAAAAAGGCTGGACTCCGGAAGTACTAAAGGTCTGTGCAGAGAAGGTTCCGGCGAGAGACCCTCTTCTCGATCTTTGKCCAAAGGGGCAAAAGCGCTAAAAGGTTTAACGAAGTCTGTACAACGATTTGAATTATCATCGAACAAAAACAAAGAAGATAAAGATGCGTTATAAARAGATAATGTATCAAAACTCGAGAAAAAATATCATGACATGCTTTGAATTAAAGRCCCAGTTTGCACCATTATGCTTTGCGCGTCTCTGTTATTGTCATGATTTACACCACAATACTTCTAGCATCCAGTATCACCATAAAAAGAATTTCAGATGGTTAAAAACTCTAGCGTTTAAAAGTRCTTAAAGTGAGATGGTCAAAGATTCGAAACACACAGTAATAGACTTTCGTTAAACTGAAAATGGCCGCCCACCGGTCTTCACGGCCCCCAAAATGATAATTGTGCACACTGGGCCTTTAATTTAGGCTGAAAATCTGAAGTTAAGGTGCTCGTAAGACCTCACACGATTTCAAGCAAAAGAAAAGGACGCATTTGATAAAAAAAAAAACATAAAGAAAGAAACGATTCCATCATTAGCCAACCTAATCACCTTCCCTGGAACCGCTCTTGGACTATAAGCAGCTTTGAGTTAGTTGTTGAGTTRGGTGTAGTAAGTGCTGGGCGTGGTTTATTGTACAGGGGCTGTGTATATCAATAAAGTAAAATATTGTTTGTACGAAGGGTTGATACTAAGGATGAAGCTATCGGCTCCTAAAATTACGAAACAAAATTGCACCAAATGCTTATTAAAAGGAGGTTGTGACCTGCATATACTACCTTGACTACCTTGTATTGCATATTCATTCTGATATGAAAAGCGCGCACTGCAGGGTTAAGCTGCGACCCTGCGTACGTGCTAAAGAAGCAGCATATAATACACGCGCGTGAAAACTCTATCGAGCGTGTCACACGAAATAAATTTCTCTGCGAGCGCCGCAAAAAAAATCCTTGTTAGTGGTGTTACTTGGTGAAAGACAAGAAGCAGCGGCGTRGCGAGGACATTAGTGTTGGGGGCACACAAATAGGATTTGCTCCTCACGGATCACTTACGCTTAATTTGCGTATAAAAGTTAGACAAAGAGTTCAAAGTCTACAATACTTTTTGTATGGGGGTGGGAAGATGCAGTCATTACTTTTAACTAGTATTTGTTTTTTTAGAAAGTATTATTTTGTAAATGCTGTTCTTTACTGACTTAACTAGAATCTACGAACTTCCTTTACATTTGTTTACAGAAGAAAGGAAACAAACACTTCAAARACGTGTTGTTGCTTGTAGTTCGGTAATGGTTACATGCATTTCTTCTTGACCTTTGACTCCCGTATTGTTTACTTGCCAACAACTAAGTGCTGTCATGAACTCCMATCTCATAGATCTACACATGAAAATCCATCGTAACTTGCTTAGACACGTCTTCTCGCTTGAACGTAAAACAATACTTGAGCTATCATGCATCAAATACTTCAATAAAAGACAATGAACAGCAAGACAATGATTGTAAATATGGCGGTCGTCGGTACGGCAGGCTATGACGTAATGGTGAAAAAAATTCCCGTACGTGATTTAACGCTGACCGCTCGCACCGACAGTCAATAAACATGACCTTGTGCTTTCACGTAGCCACTAAAAWAATAATTATCACAGCTACTTGTGGAATGGCTACGATGCCGAGGTATAAATAAAACATGCCTGGACGGAATTCAGAGACTGGTGAAGTCACTATGGATCAAAGACGGTCTCAAGAACGTCAATTAAGTCAAAAACAAAACATTGGTACGAACGGTGAAATGCTGAAATATCTGACTCATGATTAGTGGATTGAATGTCGAAATTAAAAACCGCAGCCCACATCAGTCAAATAACCGCGGGCACACTTTCTAATAAGTCAACTCTAAAAATACTTCGCGGCCCGAAAAAAGCRATGCTCTAAATTTGTCTCGCTAATCCAATTCATAAAACCACAGTATTAAACCTATTAAAGGGTCGAAGATAAATTAGGAAACATGTTATAAAAAGATCAGCATTGTAACCTTAGCTTGAGATTGAAGAAACTTGGGCAGTGAAAATGTAATAATCTCTCCTGGTTAGAGAAACCGCAACAACCGGKCTATTTTTGTGTGGCTTGAACATGGAAACACATCCGTAGTTTTTTATAGCTTATTTGTAATTTTTTTCGCTCCGGCTCAACTTTCGTCAATTCCCAGTAGTTAGTTCTCTGTTTTCTTTTTGTTTGTTTGTTTTTTTTTTATAGCATTTTCCCATTTCGTTCACATTTTGCCAAAATGTTCATTGTTTAATCATGAATGGAGCTTTGACAACCATCACGTTTCTCTGTCGGTGCTTTGCGGACCGGCCACACCAGTGCGGAAATAGCTACTTTGAGTAACTGTGTTATTTATGGATAGTAATGATCTATATTTGATGTATGGAATGATAGGGCATTGCACTTTACGTCACGTGACCCTAACTTCCCTGAAGCGATCGGCGTGGAAGAAAAAAGAACCTCAGGTATGTAAAGTTCCTGACTCAAAAGACGATGCGCTTTTTATGTGATTTTTTTTTTAACAATAGAATGCGTGAGGTGAGTTAGATGGCGACCCGACAGAACAGATGACAAAATAAGTAAAGGGTGGAATCATGTGGCTAACTGCCCAATGCCAGAATGCTAGATACTACACTACACCGAAAGAAAGAGCCTCACGTTTGTAATTGTCACTGTTTTTTTACGTGTTCTGCAACATCCCTCGTCAAGTGCTTTACTCACACAGTTCTGCACTGTTGAAGAACTAACGAACTAAAATCCCTTCTCTATTGGTTTTTACAATGTCTTTATATAAAAAGCTACAATCCGAAGGGCCGAACCAAGGAATTTCATGGAAGGGCGCACAAAGTCGAAAATGGGATTTTATTCAAAAATTAATGTTTTCGGCGCACCACCAAGTGCGAAAAGGATTTGTTGTTGTTCCTAGAAGTTTATAAATTTGAATTTATATGTTATATAAATAGGGTAACAAATTTTGTCGGAGACTAGCTTAACAGTTTGTTCGACATAAATCGTGTAATTCGGCAGTCAATCGCCTTCTACGCATTTCTACGCATAAGTCTAAAAAAAACTGGAAGTCCTGTCCATGACACCCCTACACATGCTGCACATGCTCTGCCATCCACCTTTAAAGCCCCTGAGAGCACTTGTCGGGCTTTTCAAAAAGGATTCTATATTTTCTTCGGAGCAAATGAAGAGAAAAAATAAAATGGCCCTTTCTACTTCCGAAAGCCATTTTGACGAGCCGAAGATCAAATTAATCTCGTACCCAGCGCCCCTGTCCCTCTTACTGCGCAAGCTTGTAAGTAACGCGGTCTCTGGGTACGAAGATGCAGCGGTCTATCCATTAGTACCAGTCCCTCATCAGCTTTGAAACTCAAAATGGCGGAACGCAGCTGGAAAATATTTTGTCAACTGTTTTAGTATTTTCCTATTGYTCCATTGCTACATATAAACTATTGTCTGAAGATAAATACCGAGAGATGTTGTAGCTTTTTTATGGATAGTTTTACTGGCGTATTTGCGATTSGAAAGKCACTTCCTTGACTTCTCTGACAGTCTGACTGAAGAAGCTCCTTTCAAAACACTCAATTTTCAAAATGTTCACGCTGCTCTCTGGTCTTTGGAAATACTTATTTCAAAAGGATGAGTACTTYGTGCTCATTTTAGGCTTGGATAACGCAGGAAAAACGGTATGTGACGGTGTTGATTCTAATTTRATAAAATATACAAAATCTTGACATGAATATCTTCAGGAATAACAAGATATTTGATCTCTAAATTCAATGAAAAAAATGCACAACATAACAAACAGTGAAACTTCAGATTTATGCTAACCTGAGGGGTTAATAACCTTTGGGTGGAAAAAGCAACATATTATTAGCTAATAATTACAATGCATATGTCTGGCTATTAGAAAACTTATAACTYATTACATATTTCGTCTRCAGACTCTTCTTGAGCAAATCAAAAGAAAGTTTTGTCCATCATACAAGGGTGTTCCATTTGAAAAACTGACACCAACAGTTGGTCTAAACAGTAAGTATTCAAATRGCAATTTATTTTTCTTAGACATTTGACCAGGGGGCATGAACAATAAAACATAGCCTATCAATAGACTCTTTGCCCAAATTGTTATCACTCATTAGCATAAATCTTTTTTTGTGACAAATTATACCTAATGACCGGCAGTTATTTTGGCAAAGGTTCTGTTCATTTAACTTTGTTTCATCTAGCTCAATAATATTAATCAAGAATATTGGAGTAAAGAGGTTAACCTTTTTTTCATTTTTTTCTGTTTTTTTTTAGTCGGTAAAATTACCGTTAGTCATGTCAAACTGATATTCTGGGACCTTGGTGGGCAGCAGGAATTAAGAACCTTATGGGATAAGGTARAGTGTAATATGCATTTGTCTCTTTTTTATTTATTTATTATCTGTTCACTTAGAGTGCTCGTACTAAATGCATGAAATATAAATACTACAAAATAGGTGATAAATTATACAGATTCCTTTGTTTCCTATTGTATAATCAACACTATTTAGTAGTAATTAGTACTATTTGTTTCACGGATTAAGTACGTTCACTCTATCAATAAGTTATTGAAAATATATTGCACTAAAACGCTAGCACAGATATGATGTTCAAGGATGGTTTATTTTYAGTATTTTGAAGAATGTCATGGAGTCATCTATGTTGTGGATTGTTCAGATGAGAAAAGACTAGAAGAGTCACACAATGCATTTRGTAAGATGATAGGTTATGCCTTTATRCTGGAAGCAGAACTGCTTATTTTCATTGATTGAAGTGGTTTTACACTGATTCATGATTCCCAAACTTCAGACATATAGRTCTGTGAATTGATAAAGTTGTGTCCAAAGATACTATAAGGAATGGCATTATTTTTATTTATTTTTTAAAATTTTTGTTTATTTTTTGAAAAATATCATTATTTCTTGGCAATATTTGTCAGAAATGTTTGTCAAATTGTATTTTTAGTTGTTGTACATTRAATGATTGCTTTATTTTATTTATTTTTTTTTTTTAAGAGGAAAGCCTTAAACATGAATTTCTTAAAGGAGCACCTATACTTGTACTAGCCAATAAACAGGATATCCCTGTAAGTATTTGTTATTTTTAGTATG